CTGCATAGCAATGAATGTTACGGGTTTGCAACATATCATTGATATGCAGAAGAAACAGCGTTGGCGATAGCACGCAGCCCTGTGGAACACCAGCATTAATAGGCTTGTAATCGGAGCTTGCACCGTCTACAACCACCTTGATGCTCCGATCTGCAAGAAAGCTGGTGATCCAATCGCACAATTTCTCGGGAAGCCCATAGGAAGGGAGCTTCGAAAGAAGCGCTTTTGCCAAACCCGATCGAAGGCCTTCGCAATGTCCAAACTAACGGCCAATGCCTCCCCCTTGGACTCTACTGCCTCCGCCCATCTGTGAGTTAGGTAGACCAGAAGATCACCAGCTGACCGACCACGGCGAAAACCGTATTGGCGGTCATCGGCGGGCGCCGAAATCAACCGAAACGGTACCACCGGCCTCGGGTCACTCACTATTATTACTAACATTCCGTTTTGTTGACGCCAATTAGGAAGTCAAAGCACGAGTATTTTGTTGCTTAAAAGCGAGTAAGTAAGTCTTCGGAAATAGGACTTACTGGCCTCTTTCTTGGTGCCATTGTACAAGTGTTTGACTTAGCCACGAATGATTATCGAGGTCAAGGTTACAATAATAGTGCGAACATGGCAGGAAAATTAATTAAAAACCATAATTTGACTCAATAATATTATCGGGCATTTTAAATCCATGTGTTTGAAGTTATTAGAACTTAATTTGCTCATAATCGCATAATAAAATAAAATAGTGTATGCTACCCAGTCTGGAGAGCACCTAACCCCCCTCAAATGCGTGCAATATCTCCGTAGCCACCATTCCCAGTATCACCACCACACTCGGAACAACACACTACTCTCGATAATACGACACGTGTTTCGCCTCTACACAAGGCATCCACAGGTGAAGTAGTCTGAACAACGAGTTCTCTAAATAGCAGCGGGTGGAGAGCGAAGAGCGTGCTAGGAGTGGTGGTGATAGGATTAGTAGTGACGAAGATAGTGTCAGCTTCCGCAGAGTCTACTTCATCTGAGGATGTCTCGTGTAGAGGCGAAACAAATATCATTTTTTTATATAGGATAGGGTGACAAACGAGCACACAGTCCACCTGATGGTAAGTGGTTGCTGTGGCCCATAGATATCTATCTATCCTCGATTACGAATCAAAATGCAGGTGCATTGTCACCCGTGAGGAATGCCTCGGACTACCACTAAGACCGCGACTAAGACGGAATGCCTTCTGTTTCGAGTAAAAAGGGTCGCCGGTTCTCTACTCTCATCATACGAAACACAGCAGCATTAAGCTACTATTTGACGCTGGTATTATGTGAGAGCGACCTTTCCCGGTCGAGCCGACAACTACACTTCTAATATAACTGCAGCATGGCTCTACCACGTAGACTTCAAGAGGAAGACTTGAAGAAATCTCATCTGGCAGAAGATACCGTAATTCATGTCGATGACGATGACTCTGATGATTCTGATGTAGAATTTCAATGTAAATAATTTTAGATGTAAGTTATTATCTTTATATTTATTTTTAAACATAACATAACATAAACACTCACGCCTGTCACCCAGAGGGGTAGGCAGAGACTACAGACTTCCATTTAGCACGATCCTGACATACCTTGCTCGCCTCTTCCACATCCATATACCTACGCATACATGCTCGTCTAAACTAAATTAAATTTTTTATGTGGGGGATAAGTCGCTCGCGTCCGTAGGCTTTGACCACCTAATCCTAGGCCCACCCTACACGTGTCCCCCGAGTGGTGCTAAATGAGCGACAAGCCGATAGCACAGACTCGGCTCCTCGCCGTGGTAGCGGCGTTAAATATACCACCCCATTTCGCACCATGAGGAATCGAATTAAAGAAAGGGCCCCGAGTTCCCGGCGCCCCTTTAATGGGGCAGGGGTGCGAAGAATCTCCGGGAGGAAAACCGGCGACGAGGTTCGCCACCCGTCACGTTCTGTCTCCCGGAGGGGCGAAAAGTGGATTGCAGAGGCCCGTATGGCTACGTTAAATGTATGTGGACCAATGAATGATAAAATGGATGAAGTATGCGAGGTGATGTATTATAGAGGAATAGATGTGTTATGTGTAAATGAGACGAACGGAAGGGGAAGGATGTCACTACACATGGCATGTATACCGCATACTGGTCTGGTTTAGACGAGCTCGAGCGGGCATGCCAGGGAGTAGGTATCATCCTATCAGAAAGAATGGTCCAATGTGTGAAAGAGTATGAATGTGTTAGCCCAAGACTGCTATGGATACGATTGAAAGTGGGCTTAAAGAAGTTGTTTGTGCTAGGGGTCTACGCCCCAGACATGTCTAAGCCCACTCATATCTGAGAGCAGTTTTGGGAAATGGTAAGGATGGTATTAATGAAATGTAAGGGAAATGAAAATGTTGTTATGCTAGGAGATTTTAATAGAAGAGTTGGGGTGAGGAGGCTTGGTTATGAAAGGATATTGGGAACGTTTGGTGATGAAAGTATAAATGAGAATGGTGAAAGCCTCCTCACTGTATGTATGGAAAAGAATCTTTTTGTGACGAACACTTTCTTTCGCCACAAGAGGATTCACATGTATACTTGGGAAAGAGATGATGATAGAAGCATGATAGATTTCATAATTGTGGATGAAAGATTGAGGGGCGCAGTGGTAGATACAAGGGTTTACCGGGGGTCAAACGTAGGAACGGATCATTTTTTGGTTTTATGCCGAATTAATGGTCTATTCAGGCGTTGGCGCCATCGGTCATCTGTGTCTACCACTGCGTTACAGCGTATTAGAACAGAAAGATTACAAGATGAAGGTGAGAAAAACAAGTTCAAATGTAGACTGAAAGAAAACATAAGTGGTTTGGATGAATTATGTATGAATGAGTTAGACTTGGAGAATGTATGGCAAAATGTTAAGAAAGGTTTAGTGGATGCAGCTACCGAAGTATGTGGTGTTAGTAAAAGAAAGAATGAAAGGAAAAATAATACGATATGGTGGGATGATGAGATACGCACGGAAGTTGAAGCAAAGAGGAGAGCATGGTTAGATTTATAGCAACTAAGGCTGGTAATTCTAGCGGTACGAATGATGATTTTGAAAGAAAAAAGGCAGTCTTTAGACATCTAAATAAGAGAGTAAAAGAAGTAGTTGAAAGGAAAAAGCAAGAAAGAACGGTTAACACTTTCACAGCGGAGCATTTAAGGCGCCGCTATTATATGAATGCCGAGCGATACTCGTGATTCGCTGTGAAAGGGTTAAGAATGATGATGAATGATGAATGAACTTCCAGGCAAATATTAAAATGTTCTGGAAACTCGTAAGAACTGCCAGGGGACGTTCAAAACAGCATATAATGAATGCGATAAGAGATGAGAATGGCTATATCCTGAATGATGAAGTTTTGAGTTTAAGGAGATTGAAGGAATATTTTTAAAGCATGTATATGAGTGAGGAGACAACGTATGAACTGAATGAAATAGGAACTCCGAAAGAAGTGGAAGGAGGTAGCGAGATAAGTATAGATGAAATAATGAAAGCAATGAAAAGAATGAAAGCAGGTAAGGCTGCCGGATATGATAGAGTTTCACTCGAAATGCTAAGGGCTGGAGAGGAAGTGGTGGCAGGCCTGCTGCACACCTTGTTTAATTTATGCTGGGAACTGAAGCGGGTACCGGGAGACTGGTGCAAAGCCGTGATAGTCCCAGTATATAAGGGAAAAGGGTCGCAGCAGGACAGTAAAAACTACCGCGGTATCAGCCTTCTTAGCATCGTGGGAAAACTGTATGCTAAGGTACTGATTGAAAGGGTCATGAAAGAAACCGATGGAAAAATTTGGGATGTGCAAGCGGGATTTAGAAAGGGAATGGGATGTACAGATCAAGTCTTTTCCATGCGCATGATCGCGGAGAAGTTTTTGGCCAAAAACCAAAAGGTTTTTTGTGCGTTCATGGACTTGGAAAAAGCCTATGATAGAGTGGATAGGAACGTGCAATGTCAAACACTCAACTCATTTGGGTTGAGCGCTGGCTTGATACAGGCATTGGAGTCTCTTTATAGGGACTCTAGTGCTTGTGTTAGGATCAACGGGGTCTACTCGGACTGGTTTGGCATCCATAAAAGTGTCAGACAGTGCTGTGTGGCTTTATGAATGGGTGAGTTAACCGTCAAATGCCTTTTGTACGCCGATGATCTAGTTATTCTTGCGTCGTCGGCGGCTGAGTTGCAAATGATGGTTACATTAATGAACAGATCATTAAAAGAAAGGGCTATGAAAGTGAACGCAAGTAAGACGAAAGTTATGGTTTTTGAAAGAGATGAAAGTAAAACCATATGTGAAATAAGAATAGAAGGGGAGTTGATCGTGCAAGTAGATGAGTTTGTATATTTGGGTTGCGTATTTAGCAGGGATGGGAGATATGATAAGGATATAGAACGACGAGTGAACGCAGGAAACAGAGTAAATGGGGCCCTACACTCCATTGTGAAGAGTCAAAATGTGTCAACAAAGGCACGTATGGCAATTCACAATGCTATGTTGGTCCCAGGGCATGCATTATTCGTCCAAAAAAAGGTATTCGGATTTTCCGAATAACCGAATAAAAAATATCCGAATACTTCGAATAATACGAATTTTACGAATAGTGCTTAAGTTTATGAAAAGAAACATTATTATTACTTAAACATTTTAATTAGGAACCTTTTTAATCATTCACACTTACTTAAAAATACAAAAAATTACTTTCTTGTGTTCATAAAGTATGACCGCAGGAAACTGAGGGCGTCTAACGTATCGTCATTGAATGAACATCTCAAATGATTGCAAAAATATCTATTAGCCGAAAATACACGTTCTGCTTCAACGCTTGTAGGTGGGATGGTAAGTAAAAAATCGTAAACACGTTGTAGATGAATGCTTTTAGGGCCACTTCGATCTAATAGCGCAATTTCCACCCTGACAGACGTTTCCAAGTCATCGTTTTCGGACAAATGTTTTGTTGATACCTCAGCAGTATTGTGCAAGGATTCATTAACTTTTGTCTTTAACTGTTCCTTGAATGTCTTGGCTGTCTCCTGTTCCCTCTCATCTTCAAGGCGCTGCTGTCTTTGTATTTCTCTTAAAGGCAGGCCATCTTCAGCTTCAAAGACAGTTGTAGCAGCTTTATCTTTGCAAAAATAAGTCTCATTGATTTTTACAATTAAGGCTATTATTTCCGCATGGGATGCCTTTGAAAATGCATGAGGAGTATTCCTTTCGTCATAATATTTTGTAGGATTATGTAAGTACTGTAACGTACTTACCAGTGTAGCGTTTCTCCTCTGCAAGATTCTTCTATTTAAAGCTTCTTTAAGCTGGCCACTAATAACGTCTGGATTCATCGCCAATTTTTCCATCATGAATTGAAGTGCAATTTCTGCGATTAGTAAGTTTGATTTTCGCTCGCAAAGTTCTTCAACTATGGCCTTTATGAAATTGAGAGAACTAGACATATCTTTCAAAATTAATATTTCGGTATCTGAAAAGGTAGTCTTCTCTTTGAGATCAATTAATGTCTTTTGAATTGCGTCTTTGAATTCTAGAAATCTTGCTATCATACGAGGGTGGATTGAAAAGTACTCGGCCTAACCAAGAAAATAAACACATACTAAATCAGTTATATTTTTATTTTTCTACATAATCACCATCAAGTTTAATACATTTTTGCCACCTCCCCTTCCAAGCATTTAGACCGTTGAAAAAAAATGATTCTTCCTTAGAGTCAAAATATGCGTCTACAGCTGCTTTGACCTCGTCGTTTGTTGAAAATCTTTGACCTCCCAAGTGCTTTTTTAGGTTAGGGAACAGAAAGATGATGGTGCCAGATCAGGTGAATACGGCGGATGCGGTAACAGTTCAAAGCCACAGTTGTGAATTTCAGCCATTGACTGTACTGACGTGTGAACACGAGCGTTATCTTGATGAAACAGGACTTTTCTTCTGAGCATTCCTCGACGTTTTTTTTTATATTTCCTCTCGTAAACGACGTAGTAAGGTGCAGTAGTAATCAGAGTTTATTGTCTGACCCCTTTCAAGATAATCAATCATAATCACACCTTTCGAGTCCCAGAATACTGAAGCCATCGCCTTATTTGCCGACAAAATCGACTTAGCCTTTTTTAGGGCGTGGTGAACCAGGTCTTCTCCACTGTTTTGATTGTTGTTTTGTTTCCGGTGTACAGTAATGAACCCATGTTTCGTCCATAGTAACAAAACGATTCAAAAAATCATCTGCATCGGCTTCAAATAACCCAAACAGTCGCGTGAAATAGTCAATCGCGTCCTTTTTTTGTTCAACTGAAAGCAGTCGCGGAACCCACCTCGCAGACACCTTGTGGAACCCAACTCGTTGACAATGATGTTTTGAGTTCGTTCATAAGAGATGCCTATAATCTCGGCTATCTCTCTAATTTTTAATCTGCGGTCTCCCATTATTAAATCAAGTACTTTTTTAATATTTTCGTCAGTAGTTGACGTCGAAGGCCTTCCAGAGCGGGGGTTTATCTTTCACACTCTCTCTACCACGCTTAAATTCTGCTATCCATTTTTTACCAGATGAATATGACAGAGCACAATCGCCTAATGTACTGACCATGTCATCATGGATGGCTTTTGATGATAGCCCCTTCTTATGGAGGTACTTAATGACGGCACGCTGCTCGATTTGCTCCATTCGCGGAAATTATGTCCGATTACTTTGTTAATAAATTTATAAAATCACAACTAATTATCGCACACGTTTCGAACTTCACACAATGAACTAGTCTGAACTGAACTAAATAATGTGGGTAGATTTGATTTTTAGAATTGAATGGATCTGTGTTAGGCCGAGTACTTTTCAATCCACCCTCGTATCAGCAAGGCTGCTCCAACGAGTCTTGCAATCGAGGATCAGTGTCGTGTCTTTAGATTTGGACTCCAGGTAAGAATTGAGTATATCCATGCGAGTAGGCGAACCTTTGAGAAATTTTACTATTTTCCGGACTTTAGTTATCAATTCTTTATAAACCAGCTTGGGAATGACCCCACTGGGGTAAGCTTCGGTGACAAAACGATTTTTATCTTCGTTCTCTATATCACTTTCGTCCTCAGAGTCAGAGCTATCGCAAGGTCTGTTAACAGTGATACCGGTGTTACCTTCTGTGTTATCAGCTTTGTATAGCACGTCCAGGACAGCGCACTGAATACCATGGGCCAAGCATAATTGATGATAAGAGGGAACCATTCTCCCTAGTGCGCACATTACGCTTGCACCGTCAGAGATTATGCACGAGATATCGTTTTGTATTGACAAGCCGTAATATACCAATTTTTTGTTCAATATATTATAACAGTTCTCTGATGTTCCACGGCCCCTTATTTTCGTCAGTCCCAAGTTTCTAATACCTTCAGAAAGCTCTGGTGAATGAACATTTACGTTCACATATCTGCGATTACGTGCACTTGTCCATTCATCTAGGCTTATAGCCAATTGTTTTCCTGCTGTCTTAATATCATTAAGCTCCTTTTTTACTTCTTTTTTCAGTAGCTCACTTTTATTCAGAACCTTTTTCTTTATTGTATTTGGTGATTTAGGCAAATCTTTGTAAGCAGCTTTTCCAAATAGCTTTCTCATTGATTCCGAAGAACAGAATATTTTAAATGGTACACCATCTACTGCTGTCATTTTCGCAAGTATAGTATCTAAGTCATCTTCTTCCTTCACATGAAAAAAGTCATTTATTGTTTTAGCCTTTTTTGTTGCTGGCGTCATTATGACATCGGAATCTAATGACATATCTTTTTGAGATGTTGACGGAAGTGAATAGTTAGATGTTTTTTTAGCTAACTGGATAGAATGAACAAGTCTAAGATTATTATGCAGGCTTGAAGTTGTTCCAGAGGTTTTAAATACTTTTTTACACATCTTGCATTGAGCATGAAGGCCATCTGATGTCCGCAAAAAATGTTGCCAAACAGAAGACTTATCTGCAGCACAGCGAGTATATTCTTTAAATTCAAGTTTATTTTTTTCATCCATCTTTAATCTGTGGAGAGAGAAAACACAACACCAAATATATTTGTTAATAAGTTTCTTCAGAGATATATAAATATTTGGAACTGCTTTAGAATTTAGAACCAATTTAGAATTTGTTTTTGGTTTATGTTATTGATATGTATAAAAACACCAAAACGAGATCAAAAATGGTAAATCACAAAAACAGCACATTCCAAATTAACAGCCGTTTATTTCACGTGCTTAGTAAAGCTTGCATTATGTTTATCTATCGTTAAAAAAATATGATAGAAAAAAGCATTTTATAAAGTAAGTATTTAAAACAAAAGTGTGCCAATAGGAATTGCAAAACAAATAAACTGCTACACAAGCATAACATAACCTATAAATTAGAGGTAGATTAAGCATCGTCCAATTGGAATATCAATAATAAAAAGCGGCGCAATGTAATTGTTAATGTAGATTACCTACCTATCATCTAAGTTTAACTTGGGTATTTCGATCAAACCAAATACTATTATTTGTTGTTGAAATTCGTCACAACTCACAACAATATCGCAAAGATACGAAATGTAAAACCGTTAGCACTATGCATACATGCTAAGTAGTTTTTTTTTTCATATTTTCGGCTTTGGCTACGTGATGAATGATCACCCACAATCACAACCACGCATGTTTTTCACGTAACTTAGTAGGTTTACGTTCGGATATTTTAAACAAATCAAAATAAGATAGTATTCGAAATATTCGTAAAAACCGAATAATTATAAATATACTATTCGAATAATAAACGAGGCGAATATCCGAATAATTTGGATATCCGGATATCCGAATTGCATGCCCTATGCCGACTATGCCGACCAACTTGGTCCCTACTTTAACGTATGGTAGTAAAAGTTGGGTGTGGCAGAAGAAGCACGAGAGTAGAATAAATGCAGTAGAAATGCGGTCGTTAAGGAGTATGTTAGGGCTGAATCTGAATGACAGGGTGAAAAATTGTGTGATAAGAGAAGAGTGTGGTTTGCAAGATGGTGTTGTGACCAGGATTAAGAAAGGAATGCTTCGGTGGTTTGGTCATGTGGAAAGAATGAATGAGGAGAGAGTGACAACGAAAATTTATGTTGCAGAAGTGAATGGCAGAGTCGGAAAGGGACGCCCGAGGCAAAAATTTATCGTCCAAATTAGCGATTTATTAAAAACGGGCCAAATTAGGAGTACCCTTAACCGACGAGCATGTATGCGTAGGTGTATGGATGTGAAGGAGGCGAGAGAGGTGTGTCAGAATCGTGCCAAATGGAAGTCTGTAGTCTCTGCCTACCCCTCTGGGTGACAGGCGTGAGTGTTTATGTATGTTAATTTAAAACATGCAGATGTTCCATTACAAAACCAAATGTAGGTATAATATTGTAATGAACAAAGACTTGGGGTGTTATAGAAAGAGATTTTTTTTAATTGCTATATAACCAGTTATATATATATATATATATATATATATATATATATATATATATATATATATACCTTTATACGTCCCACTGCTGGGCACAGGCCTCCCCTCCTTTCTGAGAGGGTTTTAGGGCAAGGAAGTGTTCGCCACGCTGCCCCAATGCATGTTGGCGAACTTCACATGTCTTCGAAATTACTCCTCAGACATGCAAGTTTCCTCACGATGTTTTCCTTCATCGCCGAGTTTGTGGTAAATCAGCACTTAAAATTGACAATAAAACTGATAAATCAGCACTTAAAATTGACTGACAAAAGTCATAAACTCTTACACATTCCACAATACGTTCTGGTACGGTCTGTACTGAACCTTCAGGTTTTAATAATAAATTAGCTCTGGTCCAGTCTACATCGAACTTTCAGGCAATTAGTATTGGACCGGTTCCTTTGAACCCTGCAACACTAATCAGTTTAGGTCCGGCAACATGCCCTAAAAACTCTCTTATTGTTTCTGCTAGTCCGGAATCACTATTCAATGATAGCAAGAACCACTTTTTTCGTACTTATTTTTTTTTCTTTTTTTTTTCTCAATATTTTTTTCGACTTTTTTTTCGATTAAGTTTGATGATAAGAAAGGTTTACTAATCGTTCTATAATTACATGAGAAATTCACAAAAAATAGATATTTATCTGGTACACTTTTATATTTATATAAAACACGTTTACATAATATTGTACATATTCTACAGATAGCTCACGAAAATGGTTTTGCTCCAGTGGGTATTTTCAAATGCTTTTGTAAATTGCTTGTATTACATCTATATTCACAGATATTACACGAAAAAGGTTTTTTTCCGATGTGTATTTTCATACGTTTGCAAGTTACTTTGAAAATTAAATCTAAATTCACAGATATTATCCGAAAAAGGTTCTTCACCAGTGTGTATTTCCTTCATATGCATTTGCAAATTACATTTTCTACTACATCTATATCCACAGATATTACACGAAAAAGGTTTTTCACTGGTGTGCATTTTCATATGTTGTTTCAAATAACTTTTTGTAATACACCTATATGCACATATACTACACGAAAAAGGTTTTTCACTGGTGTGTCTTTTCATATGGCTTTGCAAATAACCTTTTCTACTACATCTATATTTACATATATTACACGAAAAAGGTTTTTCACCGGTGTGTATTGTTGTATGTCTTTGCAAATCACCTTTTGTATAACATCTAAATTCACAGATACTACACGAAAAAGGTTTTTCACCGGTGTGTATTTTCATATGTCTTTGCAAATAACTCTTTCTAATACATCTAAATGTACAGATATTACACGAAAAAGGTTTTTCACTGGTGTGTATTTCCATATGTCTTTGCAAATAACTCTTTCTAATACTTCTAAATGTACAGATATTACACGAAAAAGGTTTTTCTCCGGTGTGTATTTTTGTATGTTTTTGCATATCACCTTTTGTATAACATCTAAATTCACAGATACTACTCGAAAAAGGTTTTTCACCGGTGTGTATTTTCATATGCCTTAGCAACTTACTTTTTGTAATACATTTATAATCACAATTATTACAACAATACATTTGCTTAGCAGCGTGCGCTTTAAGATGTGCTAAAATGAAACGTTTTTTAAATGTTTTAAATTCGCAAATATTACAGTTATATATATCCATTAGTTGTAATACCGGACTTTGTTCAACTTGTGTCTGAACTGCATTTGAGCTCTTTTGCGTCTTATGACTGTTTGATATATGGTCGGCGAGAATATCTTTTGTTAAAAAAATTTTTCTACAATCATCACATTCAAAACTGAATTTTGTTGATGCCTCAGATGTGTTTTTCCTAAGTTTATTTACACTCTGATTCAAAATTTTCTTTTTCATCATTTTTGCAGGAAGCTTCTCTTTTTTCATAACTGGTTGAGTATCTCTTTTCAGTTTAGGCTTTGATTTAATCTTTTTCTCACACGGTTTTGAAAAATTATTTGTTTGTATGCAGGGTTGTTCTGAAATACAAATGAATGAAACATTTTATTTATTCTCAGACATTGAATCTATTGCAAGATACCTTAGACGGTTTACAGCGGGCGGAATTTATGCTTTACCAGGGAAATATAGAGAAATTATAATATTTTATATAACTACACTCATTTAATGTTGTAAGATATAAAGTATTTTAGCCAATTACTCTAGATAATGTCTCTTTGATGACTTTATTCTAACCGTGTTATAATAATGTTACGCGCCAAAGTCGACGGCACTAGCGCCATCTAGTGTCGAACCGAAGAACTAAACTTCTTGAAGTTGCAACACGAACTCTCGGTACCTTGCGCGTGTTTACTTGAATATTCTGGATATTTCGCTGCTAATTTATATAAATAGGCGCTGCAAGATGCGATCGAGGCAGTATTGGATTTGGCGAAACAAAGCGAAGCTTCGGAGCGGAATAAAGTGAATTAGTGTGTAATTATTAGTGTTTTAAGTTTTAATTTGTGTAAAGTAAATTAAAGTGTTAATTTAGGTAATTTTATCGGTAATTTTTATTGTCACGAACCTCAAGCTCGTAACAATAACATTAATCTAGGGTGAGAAACTGTAATAAAAGAGTATGATTTGCAAGATGATGCGGTGACCAGGATTAAGAAAGGAATGCTTCGGTGGTTTGGTCATGTAGAAAGAATAAATGAGGAAAGACTGACAAAGTAAATATATGTTGCAGAAGTGAAAAGTTTGTCGACCAAATAGGCGATTTACTAAAAATGGGCCAAATTAAGAGTACCCATAACCCATAACCGACGATTTGGATTTGTCCGGTTTAGTTTTTCTTTAAGACGACCTAGTCTTAGTGCGACCATGTCTGCGTACACCACGCAAGAATATGCTAACATGCACCGCGGAATGCAGATGCAACGCTAGTGCTGCAGCTAGACTTTATCTTGAGACATACCCAAATGCTGCTCGTCATTGTATCATCGATTTTTTTAATGTGCTCCAAGCACATCGTCAAGAGAGAGTTTCCTTCGCTTACGAGTACGTTTTTCTTAGGACAAGGGTGACAAACGAGCACACGGTCCACCTGATGGTAAGTGGTTGCTGTGACCCATAGAAATCTACATCTATCCTCGATTACGAACCAAATGTAGATGTCCATGGGCTACGGCATCCTTTTACCATCAGGTGGACTGTGTGCTCGTTTGTCACCCATATTCTATAAAAACAAAAACGTTATTAAAATAAAAACACTTTTTTATATTTTGACCACGATAACTTTCGAATCATCATCAATCGATTTTGATGTAATTGGTGGCAATCGACGATGTATTTTAAGAACAATAATAAAATCTAATAGATCGGGGAAAATGTTTCTTCGTATTTTGTTAGTATAAATTGAAGAAAAATCTCTTTGGTTATACTGTTTGTACCAGGTTGGTTTTAATATCAATACATATACGACATTAAGTAAAATAAGTAAAACAACACTTTTCCGCCATTTTTCAATTGCTTTTCTATTCGCCAAAATGAATGAATCTCACGAAGAATAAATGCTGTACATTCCGATTA